CAGTTAAGAGCACTTGCAGAGGACCTGGGCTTGATTCCCAGCACCCACATGGTAGCTAACAACCCTCTGTAAGTCTACTTCCAGGGGATCCAAAACCTCTTTGGACATTGCATGACACAGGTGCACTTACATACAAGCAGGCAGTATACTCATACACATAAAAATAATTCTAAATAAGCTGACTAAACCCCGGTGAATGAACTTGCACTGAGTGACAGCTCTGGACACTAACTTTACATAATAGGCCTTAACACAAATGACAGAATGTATGAACTCCAGTGGGGGGCTATGGGAGGGTACCAAAGGGTAACCACAGCAGCTGTGAGTTCTTGAGTACAACAGCCATGACACATCCTGTTTCTTTTTTTTTTCAGTACTGAGGATTGAACTCTGGGCATTGCACATGTTAAGCAAATGCTCTACCACTGAGCTACACCCCCAGTCCAGCTCTCTTTATTTCTTACCTAAAAGTGTTCTCCAGAAATGACACATGGGGTTAGTCACAGTGGCATTTACTTATAATCCCAGCTACTGAGGCAGAAGGATCACTTAAGCTGATCCTACTTAGTGGCTGAGCCAGGAGGATCACTTAAGCCCATGCGTTTAAGGCCAGCCTGGGCAACACTGTGAAACCTAAGACTCCATTTCAAAAAAAAAAAAAACCCAAAAATACTCATGTATTTTCTTGAAGGTAAATAGGTATGTTCCTGTGCACATTAGGGAGTATCTATAAAGAGAAATTGCCCTTGATTATGTAATTCTGAAGAGCATTGAACGTACTCATTGGGTTTATAGAGAGGGTTCACTTAGTTTCTTGTAGGCTTATATAACTGTAAACCCATAGTGGAGAGATAGAACATCATGATCTTGATACAGCAGAATATTTTTCACAGTGAAGGCTAAATCTGTAAGAAATTCAGAGAGGAGAGAGCAGATGGGCTGAAGAAACCTCTGCCTCTCCTGACCCCCTGGGAAGACGCTGTTGCCTCTCATCTGTATCAGCTGCTTGGGCCTTGGTTAATACATGGCTCTTCTTGTCCACCATTATGAGTGCCTGCCTGCCTGTGGACTGACATAGCTGGAGGTGCCCTTAAGCGCTGTCTAGGATGGTATGACTGTTGTCTCAAACCAACACAACAGGCTCCAAAGAAAAGTGGGGTTGAGCCAGGGCATCTGGGCCAGGAAAAGTGATGAATTGTGTAATATCCCCCTTTTTAATCCACTCTTCTCTGGCTTATTTCCTCTGAGGCATGTGAGTTACACTGTAGATTTTTTTTTCTTCTTTATCTTCTGCATTGAGTAATATCCTTTCTCTAACTCTCCCATGAAGAGGTTATCTACTGCAGATGCCTCTGTAAGTACAATATTATGATCTGGGGTGTGAAGAGTGTCCTTTCAATGACTTGTTTCTGAAATCAGTGATTCAACAATTCCAACTGTTGGCATCCCAATCCTTGTAAATGGGTGGTGGCGAGAGCCATTGTACCAGTGAGCGAGCTCTGAGAATGCATCTGCTGCCTTCACAAATTCCAATAAAAATAGACTGCCAGGGACAGCTGATGGCACTCCCAGGCACGCTTGGGCCCAGGCTGCCTTCTGTCAACAATTTCATGCCATTTCAAAAGACCACAGTTCTCTTTTTTCAGTTTTTCAGTTTTTTCATTTTGATTTTTGAATGCTCTAAATATTATTTATGGAAGAATATCAAGTGTCTCTAGACTCATCTCTGGTCTCCTTGTTTCAGATAGTGTCATAACCTGGATTAATATATTTGTTAAACTCTGTATTTTTACAAAAAAAAATCATTATTTTGGGCTGGAGATGTTGCTCAGTTGGTAGAGTGCCTACCTAGTGTGCATGAGGCCCTGGGTTTAAGCCCCAGCACCACACAATCTGGGCATGGTGTATGCCTGTACTCTCAGTAATGGTAGGTGGAGGCAGGAGGATCAGGATTTTACCCTTGACTACATGGTAATTTAGAGACCAGACTGGGCTACATGAGACCATGCCTCAAAAAAAAAAAAAAAAAAAAAAAAAAATTTTAGGGCCTTCTGTGATGCAGCACAGTGGCAGAGTGTTTGCCTACCACACACACACCCCTGGCTTCCAGCTCCAGCACTGTACATACACAAAAGGTATAAAGAATGACATATCCTCAGGGTTTGCTGAGTGTGAAGCAGTGCAGCAGGGTACCTAGTATATGGAAAAGGTTTGAGAGCTACTGAAGCCTTGTCTGAAGGCAGTGGATGTTTCTCAGTCCATGAAGCCACAGGTCTAGGGATTGTACAAGAAAGGAAGATAGACCCAAGTGAATTAGGTATGATTAGTTAGCAGCCTAGTGTTTTAGAATATTCTGGAAGGATCCAAATTGGCCATCCCTGAACTCGAATTTGCTGATATGACAACAGTTTCTCCCACAGAATACCTGTATTGTCTCTGGGGGAGATATTGATGTGTTCCTGAGAGGTCTAGCTTGGGGTCCTCAGCATTGTGGAATTTCTAAAAGAGTGACAGAAGTCCATGGTAGTTTCTATGATCTTTAGCTGTGAGCACCTGTGCTAGACAGCTTTAGTTCTCAACTTGACACACTTGGGTAGAGGAGCCTCATTTGGGGAATTGCCTCCATTGGACTGGCCTGTGCCATGTCGGTGGGGCATTTTCTTGATTGTTGAGTGATGTGGAAGGACCTAGCCCACTGTGGGTGGTGCCCCCATGGGCAGGTAGTCCTGTATTGTGTAAGAAAGCAGGTTGAGCACCAGCCAGGGGAACAAGTCAGTAAGCAGCGTTCCTCCATGGCCTGTGCTTCAGCTCCTACTTCCAGGTTCCTGCTGGAATTCTTTTTTCCTTTCCTTTCCTTCCTTCTTTCTTTTTTTTTTTTTCTTTTGGTCTTTTTGAGACAGGGTCTCCCTATAGTCCCAGCTGGCCTGAAACTCGCTATGTAGACCAAGCTGGCCTTGAACTCACAGAGATCTACCTGCCTCTGCCTCCTGAGTGCTGGGCTAGCCTGTCCCTGTGTTTTCCCATCTCAGTGACATGTAGAGGGTGACCTTCCTAAAGGAAAGTGAACCTCTGACTACAGAGCCAAGTCTAAAGTGTGAAGGAAGCCTACATGTTTGGGAAAGTAAAGAAGACAGAAGAAGGGGCTGAAGAGATGGCTCAGTGGCTAAGAGCACTGGCTGCTCTTGCAAAGGACCAAGGTTCAGTTCCCAGCACCCATCTGGCAGCCAACAACCGTCCATAACTCCAATTCCAGGAGATCAGATGCCCTCTTCTGACCTCCCCAGGCTTTGCACAATGGGTACACTTACATGCAAGCAATACTCTCATACACATAAAATAATAAAGAAAATAATTTTTTAAAAAAGAAGACAGAGAAGCCGGGCGTGGTGGCACATGCCTTTAATCCCAGCACTCAGGAGACAGAGGCAGGGGGGGCTCTGTGAGGTTAAGGCCCGCCCGGGCTAAATAACAAACTACAGGGAGACCCTGTCTCAAAAAAAACAAAAAAAAAAAAAAAAAAAAAAAAAAAAAAAGACAGAGAAAGGAGAGGAATTAGATTCTGGCAAGGTTTACCAAGAAGACGCTGACTCAGCTGTCAAAGACTGGGTACCAATATATGAAAGAACCCATCAGGATATCAATATTGGATCTTGATGCCAAGGTAAATAAAGACCAGTCCCAGAAATCAATGTATTTAGGCACTTTATGAGTTCCTGAGTTCCAGTAAGGAAAATGGGGAACATTTCTGTTTCTTTTCCTGTTGCTATGATAAAATACCTGGCAAAAGTAGCTTAAGGGAGAAAAGGTTTGTTTTGATTTACAGTTCCATTGTGCAGTCCATCCTAGTGAGGAAGTCAGAGCAGCAGGAACTCGAAGCAGCTGTTCGTTGACATCTAGAATCAGGAAGAAGAGCGGACTAAGCCTGCATCTGCTCAGCTCCCTTGCTCCATTTATACAGTCTAAGATCCCAGCCAGGAAATGGTGCCTCCCACAGGGAGCAAGTCTTCTTGCCTCTATTAATATAATCAAGGTAATCCCCCATAGGCATGTCCAGAGGCCCCTGGTATCCCAGGTGATTCTAGATTCTGTCAAGTTGACAGTTAACACTAACCCTCACACATTCTGAATCTTCAGAGCCTAGAGGGCCCCCTCCCCCAGGGGGACAGTGGAGATGGAAGATTTATCATAGTCTTCTTGATTTGGACACCCCCATGGGCTCATCTTAAGCTTCTTAACCTTGACCATTGTTATTTTCTTTGTTTCTTCTTCCAAGTGACTGAGCACTCTTTAAGTTCAGACAACATCTGAGTTAGAATTTATTCAGTTTCTTCTCTCAACCAAATATTTGTTTTTATCAGCAACTGTTTACATATAATGAATAAAAATTATTTATATATAATGAATAATGAAAAATGAATAAAAATAATGAATAAAATAAAAATGTTTATACATAATGAATAAAAATGATGTGGAACTGAGCACAAACCAGTAGGTGATTTATTGGATGGAAGTGGCTGGAACAGATGAAACCTTTGGATTCTGGCCCTTCTCATAAGCCCTCTCACCATCTTCTCCTTTCTCTCCATTTTTCTATCTCTGTTCCTGTTTTTGGAGACAGGGTCTCACTATGTATTCCTGGCTGACCTGGTACTCACTAGATAGTCTGGGTTGGCCTTGAACTTTAGGCAGTCCTGACTCAGCGTCCTGGTTCACCTGTGTCTCTTGACTCTACTTTCTAGGAAAGTTTCTTGGCTTCATTTTCCAATCATATTGTCATTTTCTCCTATTAGGGTGTCAGTTTTTGTTCTGTTTTGAAATTCTGTTACTGTATGTGTATATGTATTTGCATATATGATTTGGGTGTCTTTCTAACTGTTTATCACTATGAAGTAATCCTTTTATCACTGTTAATACTTCTTATCTAGAAATCTACTTCTGATCTCAGTATGGCCACATCACTTTTCTTTCTTTTTTATCCCTTTTTAAAAAATTGTCTTTAGGGCCGGAGCGATGGCTCAGCAGGTAAAGGCACCAGCCACCAAGCCTGACGACCTGAGTTCAAGGATCACATGCTGGAAGGAGAGAACCAACTCCTGCAAGTGTCCTCTGACCCTCTACACGTGCACTGTGGTATGCATGTGCCTACACACACACACACACACACACACACACATACACACACACACACACACACACACACACAAATAATAAAATGTAATAAAAAAGTTTAAAAAAAATTGCCTTTGTGTTGTTTTTGCACTGTTGGGAATGAAACCCAGGGCCTCACACATGCTGGACAAACACTACCATGGGACTACACTAGCCCAGTTTTAGATTTTTGTTTGTTTTTGTTTTCGGTACTAGAAACTAATCTCACTATGTAGACCAGGTTGGCCTCAGACTCCATTCTTCTGCCTCAGCTTCCTGACTACTAGGATCACGAGCTTATGCTTTACAAGAAAATTATTTATTTTTATTGTATATGTATGAGTGTTTGCCTGTATATATATAAGTGTGCCCATGTCATACAATGCCCATGGAGGTCAGAACATGGCATCAGATCCCCTGGAATTGAAGTTACAGATGCCATGTGGGTGCTGGGAACTGAACCTGGGTCCTCTGAAAGAGCAGCCAGTATTCTTTTTTTTTTTTGAGGCAGGGTCTCCCTGTAGTCCCAGCTGTCCTGGAACTCACTGTATAGGCCAGGCTGGCCTTGAATGCACAGAAATCACCTGTTTCTGCCTCCGAAGTGCTGAGATTAAAGAGATGCGCCCCCACACCTGGCTAGTCAGTATGCTTAACCACTGAGCCATCTCTCCAGCCCCACAACCATATGCTTTTTAAATGAGATTTTTTGTGTGTGTTTTATTAAATTTGAAGTGGAATGATTTAAACAACATCTCCAAAGCCAGTGTGTGTTATTCTGTCACAATTTGAAAACCCATAAAGTATATTCTATTGTCATTTTAGTACTTTTTTATTTTATGCATGAATATTTTTTAAACTTATTACTATTTTGTTTTATGTGTATGAGTGTATTGCCTGCATGCATGTAAGTGCACCTGTGTCATGCAATTCCCTTGGAAGTCAGAAGAGGGCATCAGATACCCTGGAACTGGAGTTATGGACAGTTGTTAGCTGCCATGTGGGTGCTGGGAACCAAACCTCTGTCCTCTGCAAGAGCAGCCAGTGCTTTAACAGCTAAGCCATCTCTCCAGCCCCCATGAATGTTTTTTTTTTCCAGAATACTTAAAGTTTTTTTTATTAATATCATGAACTTTTCATCAATGATTAATGAGAAAAGTCTCCTTAAGTGAGTGTGACTATGTATTGTTGCAATATCAAGAAAACCCTCTTAAGGGCCTCAGTGGAGACCTAGCATTCTGGTTTTGCCAGGTCAGTAACTTGGCCAAGGGATCACCCCTCAAAAGGCCAGTTCACCTTAAATCTAAAGACAGGGGTTACTAGTGTGTTAATGAGATGGTGACTGTTTACTGCTTGGAATCTCCCACCCCTGGGTCAGTTGCTTCTTGACTGGTCAGCAGCCATGTAGCTTAATGAGGTTGTACATTTTTCTAAAGAATTCAGAAAAGCTTAAATTCTCCTTTTCTTCTTTCTATCTCTTTCTCTAACCATGCTTTCCTAACACTCTGGGTTAAACCAACATTTTGGGGTTTTACTTTGCCTTTTAAAAATATTTTATTATTTTTATTTTATGTGTATGATTATATTGCCTGCATGCATGTAAGTGTACCGTGTCATGCAATGCCCGAGGAGTCAGAAGAAGGTGACATATTCCCTGGAACTGGAATTGCAGGTGGTGATTAACCACCATGTGGGTGCTGGGAATCAAACCTAGCTCCTTTGCAAGAGCAGCCAGTGCTCTTAACCACTGAGCCATCTCTCCAGTCCTTTACTTTGCCTTTAAAGCTCCCCTGTTGTTGCTTTTAAAAGAACAGCTTTATTAAGATATGGCTGTCACTCAGTAATTAGGTCTTTTTTTGTTTTGTTTTTGAGACAAAGTCTCCCTGTAGCTCCAGCTGGCCTGAAACTTGCTGTGTAAATCAGGCCAGCCTCAAACTCACAGAGATCTGCCGGCTTCTGCCTCCTGAAGGCTAGAATTAAAGGTATGCATTGCCATACCTGGCAATAACTACAAATATTTAAAATGTGCAATTTTCTAAGTTTTGACATGCATACTCTAGGAAACCATCACAATAATAAAGATAATAAAACTTATTCTCCATCTCCCCATCACACCCATTTATGACACTTTCTTGTCCCTTCCTGTTTCTTCTACCACATCCCTAGACAACTACTGTTATTGGGGGAGGGGAGTTAACCATAGATTTATTTATATTTTCTAGAATTCTATGTGAATGGATAATGTATATACTCTGTGGTCTGAATAAGTTTTAGAGTTGTATCTTTAAGCTCATCAATTCTTTTGCAGTGTCAAGTCTGCATTTAATTTCATCTGGTAAATTATTGACTTCAAATTTGTTATTTTCAGTTTTAGGATTTCTGTTTCATCCTTTTATGTTTCTGACATATTCCATATTGGACCAGGCATTGTGTCACGTGTCTATAATCCCAGTATTTGGAGTCTGAGACAGGAGGATCATGAGTTGAGGACAAGTCTAGGCATATGTCAAGTTCAAGGCCAAATCTGCTTATGTAGTACAAACCTGTGTATTAAAAAAAATAAAACTTGGGGGCTGGAGAGATGGCTCAGAGTTAAGAGCACTGTCCTCTGCTCTGGAACAGAGGACCTGGGTTTGGTTCCCAGCACCCATATGGAGGCCAACAACTGTCCATAACTCCAGTTCCAGGGGATCTGACACCCTCTTCTCACCTCCTCTAGTATTGCGTGACACAGGAGCACTTACACACATGTATGCAATACACTCATATACACTTAAAATAATAATAAATAGAATATATTTTTAAAACACTGTATTGTCATCCATTAGAACTGTCTTTTCTTTTTTTTTTTTTTAAGTCATTTTGAGACAGGGTCTCCCTGTAGCCCCAGCTGGCCTGGAACTCCCTATGTAGACCAGGCTGGCCTTGAACTCACAGAGTTCAATCCACCTGCCTCTGGCTCCTGAGTGTTGGGTATGCACCGTCATGCCTAGCCCTCCTGTAGCCTTAACATTATGGTAAATAATTTTGATCTTATATCTGTTCCTAACAGCTAAATCATCCATTTATCTTCTTCTGATGACTTTTTCCTCTTGATATGGATTCCCTTTTTCCTGCTTCTCGTCTCTAACTTTATAAATGAATATCAGTCACTGTAAATGACAAGCTATAGAGACTCTGGCTTCTGTTTTCCTCTGCAGAGTGTTGAGTTTCATTCTAGCAAGTAGTTAAATTGGAAGGTCACTTGGATTCTTTTTCCTTGTTCCATTTTGTGTGTGTGTGTGTCTGTGTGTGTGTGTGTGTGTGTCTGTGTATATGTGTGTGGGGGGGGGTGTGTGTATGTGTGTGTGTGTGTGTATTTGTACATGTATGGGCACAGGTGTACATGTGGAGGCCTGAGGTAGATGGAATCATTCTTGATCACTCTTCCACCTCATTCATTGAGACAGGATAAATAAAACCTAGAGCTTGCCGATAATGGCCAGCTTGCTCTGGGGATCTCCATCTCCCCCTCCAAGGCAGAAATTGAAGTAGGCCACCACACCCACACATTTTTGATGGGTTCTGGGGATCCAAATTTCAGTCTTCATGCCTGCACAGTGAGAACTTTAACCACTGAACCATCTCCCCAGCTCAAATCAACTTTGATTCTCTGGAAGCTTGGTTTAGAGATTTACTGAGATGGACTTCAAATTTGTTGTTAGTGTTATGGAATTCCAATGGCAAGATCAAGTTGTTTACCCTGCCCCCTGTAAGTTGGCTGAACCTAAGCTCCAAATTCTGCATTCCCAGCTTGGGGAGACTGCCAGAAGTTTTGCTCAGATCCTTGAACCCTCTCCACAGTGTTTCCCACTAGCCTCCTTGTTACTCCCTCTGTACTTGAAAAGGAAGGAGACCCAGAGAGACAGCCCTCAGAAATGAGCCCATGATTGGCGGAGAGGCTATAGAAACACCTGAGGACTTTCCCTGTGAATGTCCTTCTTTTTCAAGGACTCCTCTCTCAGTTTCTTGCTGTGAGGCCTTAAACTCTCACCTCCTGATGCCTCTGCCCAATTAGACCACAACTTTCTGCCCAAGCAGGATTCTTGCACTGCACTGAAGTACTCACAGGAAAGCCGATAATTAAGAGTGGCCCTCACGTAGGCTCACTTTGCTCTAGGGTCACAGTCTCTCCAGTACCTCCAAACAGTTGTTTTTTATGTTTTGTCTAGAGTTGATTGGCTGGAGAGTTAGGCTGATATAAACTAGCCTACCATCACAGGGAGCAGTACTTCTCAGTCTTTCTATTATGTCTCTCCACCTTGGTTTTCATGATTAAAAAAATCATGATTTGTAGAAACTATTTTTTCTTCTCAGTTGGCATTAGTAATGCTTTGACCTTTAAGTTTCCTCTTTGTGAATAGCCCGTTTGTGCTGTTTGGTTTCTCCTGATGATCTTTAAGACTAGGAAACCAAGGGCTGGGGACATTGCCCAGTGGTAGAGTGGTTGCTTAGTACACATAAGGCCCTGGGTTCAATCCCTATACTGCAGAAAACAACAGCAAACACAGCAAAAGACTAGAAGACTGAAACATGACATTGAAAGCTCTGTGCTAGAGCCCAAGTACCCTTCGTATCACAGCGGTGAGTCTGAGTGATCACTGGGTGGCTCCAAAGGTCAGTATCTTGAACTCTTCTCATGCCCTACCCCAGGGAAGTTTCTTCCTGTGTCTCACTAGAGAGCACAGTTTTAGCTGCCTGCATTCTGGAAGCACACTGGGAAGAAGGCTTAAGACACCACTCAGAACATTCACTGGATCTCTCCTTTGGAATCTGGAAGCCCAGCCCTCAAATGTGCTTGATGCCTGTTAACCTTCTCAGAAATATATGTCCAGACTGGTGGGAAGTAAACAGTTGCCCACAGACTTAGTGTCAGGAAAGCTCTGGGCTGCTCCTCTATCTACTTTTTGCTTTAGTCTTTCCCCTTCACTTCTAGAGGTACCTGGTCTCATTTTCTGAGCCCATTGAGAGTTCTTTGGACAAACTGAGCCCTCAACTTTCTACACTGCCAGG